GACGAAGATGCCGTCATTGGGCTGAGTTTCAGCTGGTGAACGGGAGAGTGGATGGGCACAGAACTCAACACTGAGGTAGGAAAGGCGAAACATGAGCCTTCAAAGTTTTTGCCTAACGTCAGTTCTTCTGCAAAGAAAGACGCAGCTTCTCTTTTGCATGAGGCGACGGGGGGGCTGGGAGTGGAAGACAAGATCTCCGACTCGTATTGTAGCAACTGGCCCATGAAACCAAAGTTTGGTGAGATCAGGCTCCGGCGCTGCTTGATGTAATCAAAGGCTTCCTCCAGGCGGAGCTTCTTCGTCTTCATAAGATACGCCATGCAGATGGTGGGAGAGCGTGAAATCCCTGCTTCACAGTGCACCAGGATCTTGCCCCCCGTTCGTCTGACATAATCTAGGGGAAAAAAGTCATGGCAGACGTCAGTTGTTGTTGGGGATGGAAAGGACGCCGCAACACGCACCCAGCGCTAAGCATGGCACACAGCCAGCCCACCGGCAAGGAGGGGCTTGCTCTTCTGTTGGGTACTAAGGGTAACATGGAGATTAAAAGAGAAGGGGGACAAAACCCAGTCTGAAATGAAGCTGAGCTGCAGATGACATTTGGTTTCAGAATCTGTGGATCCTGGTTCTTTCTGCATTTTTTAGGAAAGTCCTTCCCTGTCTTCTTCCCACGTGCCTATTTCTCTTTTGGAACAACTGACTTTGCAGAGCACTGAGACACAGAGATCAGGTATCTGGGCAATGTCTGTGTTTGCTGTACCTGCATTTCTCTGCCTGCAGCTCAAAGTGCTGACCCAAGCCCAGCCTGGCCAGCCCTCCAACCGTCAGGTCTTTCAAAACCTGCAGGGCTGCCTTCCTCTCATCAGCTTTGCTAGAAAAACAGGACTTTTCTTTAAAGTCCGAACCTAACTCCCTGCTTGGCCAGTTAGCAGCAAACAGTGGTACCAGGAGCTGAGCCCTTGGTGGGTGCCCTTGGGTGGAGAGGCTGAGCTCACTCCCTGGGGCCTCACCACAAAGCACACAAGGGCTGGTAGGCAGTTGTAATTACAGCCTGGTTATAGGATGCTTGGACTTAAGTCAGGATATAAAAGGCTTATGCAAAGCACCCATTTTACACAACAGGAGCCACTGTGGTTACTCACACAACACAATGATTGTTATTAGATTAAAGAGAATGTGCTTAAAATAAGCCCTTTCCACACAAAAATACAGCTCAAAAATAGACATTCTCTGCTCTATTGCCTTGAGCAATATGTTCAAGCTCCAATTTATGGATAACTGCGCTGAGTGTAGTGCTCAGTGAAACAACATAAAGCTGAGCAAGTTATCATTTGCCTGTCTTCGATTGTCTGCCAGGGGACTGGTGCCACCACGACCAGTTATATTTAACCACTGCACAAAATAAGACATGGATTTGAGTCATCCCCAGCATCTACACCACACGCCCAATTTTAAAAGAAAGTGAAAACTAAAGTCATCCTCAAGATCTGGGAAATTTCCACGTGACTCAACAGCTATCAGAAGGGGCTGGGGATGGGACAGAAGAGTGCAGTGAATTGGCATTTCCCTGAAAGGTGTGAAAGTCCCTTACCAGGAAGGGGAAGGGCTCAGAGGGCACCCTCAGATCAGGTTTTTGTAATGCTGCCTGCACTGTCAAAGGACTCGAACTCAGCTGAGCGACAAGTCCAGCAAGTCTGTAACTGGGCTTTTATTCTGCTTCTCTCTCAATGTTCCTGGAGAGCAACAGCACCGATTTCAACACCATCTCCGCTCAGGCTGCTCCACCCCACTAAACCACCCTCTGCCTCTCAGCGAGGAGCCTCTCCCTTGCGCTGCCTGGCACGGCTGGTGTGCCGCTCACCTGCCCGGCCTAACGCAGGGAGATTTGGGAGGCGATGGCCCAAAGTTTTCTGAAGGCCTCCTCATTTTTTTTTGCATTGGGGTATTGGATTAAAGGGTGAGATACCACCGTGATCAGAAGGAGAAAAGGAAGGAGCTCTGTGATAAGGGGAGACTCTGGATTTCTAAGACCTCGGCTTTGGGATATCTCAGCCCAGCAAGGCGATACGCTGACTCTGCTTCACCTGGCTTTTACAGGGTCTGGCATGCAAGTCCAAGGAACCAATGTTTGTTTTCCTTTACAAAAATCAATAGACTTTGGTGTTATACAACCATACTTCTTTGCTCCCTGTCATGCTGAAGTTATACCTACGCTTGCTTTGAAAAGAAAATAAAGCTAACCGGCTCACTCGCCTCATCTGCCTGACAGCAGTCAAGAGGAGGCATTTTCCTTCCTCAGCCTCCCAGCCTGGAGAGAAGGACAGAGACCTTGCTCTGAATGTCCCTCTCCCTTCCTTCCTCACAGAAATCCCTCTGCCAGGAGAGATGCTGGGGAAGGGAGGGAGCTTAAACTTTTGCTGTGACATCTAGGAACATCCGGAAAATAACGTGTCCTCCCCACCAGTATGTGTTTTAAAATAAATGAATTTAAAATACATGAAGATCTGGAAATTTGTTAATTTGGACCTACCGATAAAGTCGATGGCTTCCTGGAAGTGTGAGCTGATGTCTGCAGTGTGACTGTCCTCCACCGGGATCCACTTGTAGCAATACTGGTCTTTGAAGGACTCCGAGCTTTTTCTGGAGACGTTGAGCAGGGCCGTGATGTGCAGATTGGCGAGAAACTCACACTTGGAAGCATGATAGGCACTACCAAGGTAGAGAAAAGGCAGGATTTCAACTGGACCGCCCTGGAAGAGAAGGAACAGAGACATGTAATTCCTTTTCAAGGGTATTTGAGTTTTTATTTTCTTGTCCACATCTGTGAGGTACAAAGTCAGATCCAGCCTACTCATGTGCAGGTTGTTTCTGGCTTTCTTTAAAGTGCTGCCCCTCGGGACGCACGTGAAGCGCTTTCATATGTGAGACCCGTTCCCTCTGAGGCTTTACTGAAATACGGGCGAGGCAGGGAGCCACGTCTGAGCAGGGAGGAAGAGGAGGATGGAGGAAGAGGCTGCTTTAGCCCAGGGCTCAGCCCCTCTGCTTACATCTCGAAAGGCGAAGCAAAGCAAGAGAATTGGAGCAAGGCTCCCCGTCCCCCCACACCTCCCTGGGGCGCAGCACCCGCTGCGTCACCCGCCCCAAGATGTCATCTCGGTTTCTCCTTCCTCAGCGCAAGCAAAGGCTGGGCGACGAGACCGCGAAAGAAAAAAAGCCACCACCTGACACAAGGGTTTCAGAGATCATAGGTAACTTTCCATGATGCACAAGAGCTGTTGCTGGCCCCCGGCTGTGAGGAATTGGCTCTTCAGCCCCCTGAGCTCCCCGCCCAGCGGGTCCCACGCAGCGGGGACAGCCGGGAGCCACCTGCGGTGGCAGGACGGAGCCTGGGGCGGGAGGCGCTCCCGGGGGAGCGGAGGGGCATCACCCGGGGCTCCCCCCAGCACCAGGAAACGCGCGCCCCGGCGGAAGCGGCCCGACCGCAGGGTGACATCTCGAGCACGCATATTCCCCAGGCTGGGCGGGCGCAGGGGCGTGACGACTTCCCCCGTGGAAACCCCGCTCTCCCTGCCCAAAGGCAGCTCTCAAGAGCCACTGCCTCTTCTCAGAAGTGGCACCGTGACCCTGGGCCGGCCCCCCTCCACCAGCGCCAGAGTCTCGGAGGAGCCACAGGCAAAGTGTGCTCCTTCGTCTGCCAGAAAAATGACACTGCTGGCAGCCTCTCCCTTGCCCATTTTAAGACTCCTGGGGAGGCGTGAGCCCCTCACGGCTCATCCTGCCCAGCTGTGTGATAAAGACAGGTCTCAAATACAGTTTGGGGGCTAGACAGGTGTTTTTTTCCTCCTTCTGTTGCCAAATTTTGAAGCCAGGTGGAGGTGATGCTGACCAGCAGCACGCACAGGACATCTTATTCAACACACAGGCTGCCAGCCTGGGCTGCGACAACTTAGTGACAGCCCGTGGGCACCCGGCGGGACCCAAGGGGAAGGTGACCCACCATGGCTGTGACACACACCTGGTCGTAAGCGGGTTTGTGGTTGGCACTCTGCTTCTCACAGTGGCTGGCGAGGTTTCTTTCTGCCTCAGTCCTCTCTGGGGAAATGAGTTTTCCATCCACGCAGCACTCAGGATACTGGGAGTTAAAAGTTTCATATCCCCCTAGGGAAGGAAAAAAAAAAACAAAAAAACCCCAAACCCATTAATGTTTGTGTTTCCAAAAACTGGTTTAATTAAAGTGGAAGAGAAATGAAACTCAAGCACTTGCAATGCAGTAGGATAGCGCACAGGGATGGGCCCTGGGGGGTTAATGAGGGATAGCGCTCCCCTGGGGAAGCAGGCTTGTTTAAAAGGCTCTGGGTTTGTTTAAAAGGCTTGGGGCACCTGAAGAAAAACCTCTGATACCGCTGACAATTATTAACTTGTCAAAAGCCAGTGAATCCAGATTAAAACTGTTAGCGAATGTAATTGTGTTGAGTCTAGCAACCATTAACTCCAGTACAGCGGGGACTAAACTCCCTCCCCCAGGTTTTATACATGAGCGCTATTCCCAGCGTTTGAGATGGAGATTTCTGTACTCAGTAGTCATCCTCTCTAAATCTGTTGCTATTCTATACGTTGTGACAACATAAGAAATGTTTTATTTGCATTTTTGAATGGACATGAGCACAAGAGGGGGATGCTTGCAACTGTGTCATTAATCACCACAATGCAGAAGACAGCGAGGTAATGAAGACAGTCCCACTGAAACCAATCTATTAAATAACAGCTATAAAACTTAATGAAATCCTGTGACAGCATTTGACAACTGAATAGCCCCACATGAGCTATTCTGCATGGTTAAGTACTGCATTCGTTTCATTCAGTGCACTGCTAATGAAAAGGAATTAATCCTATTATTACATTGTTACTCAAAGTTTGTCGTCAGCTAAATTGTGCCTGTTTCCAGGCTGGGAATACGCTGCATGGAAGCACACGATCTCCAAAATGAATGTGAATAAGTCAGGTAGCAGAAGCAGCCTGGAAATGTCAGCGGTGTGCCCCGTATCTGCCACCTGGGCTTTTTCAGAACAAAAGTGGATGGCAAAAACTCTTAACTATCTAGATTCAATAATCCTTTGGAGCGTGGCCCTCAAGTAAACAAGGCTCGGAAAGCAAACCCTCCGATGCAATTCATTCACCTGCGACTGTTTCACCCTGATAAGCGGTGCCGGTGTGGGTGCCCCGCTGCACGGAAGGGTTTCGAAACAAAGGAAGCGCTGAAGATCTGTGCGGCCACCGGGCCCCCGCCGCCCTCGCTGCCAGGGCTGCCCGGTACAGCTACCTCTGACATTTCAGCCCCGTAACGCCGGTGTCTCATTTGTTTGCAATGTTTGAACAGATGTGTGCTCAAATTCATGACGTGCTACTGTCGCCCACTCAGTCCTGCCATGGGGCCCTCGTGTTGCAAGCGGCCAGCATGATCCAAAGCCCACTGGACGTGATGAAAGTCTGTTTTCCATGACGGAGGGCAGGAGGATGACTTTGCAGTCAGCTGGCACTCAGCACCTGCACCTTTCCTCCTACTCCCCAGCCACATTGAAGCCAGCTTGCCCCAGAGCTCACGGCACGAAGCAGTGGGTCAAGCAGCCAAGTGACCCTGGAGACCATAAGGGGGGGGTTGATAAAATGATATCCACAACAACTGGGTTGATAAAATGATATCCTTAACAACTGGCAGTGTTAGGGATACAAACACAAGCAGCTCTCCAGACTCTTCTGATCTCCAGCTGCCCTTCATGGGGTGGACTTTTAAGTCCTCTTGTTTTGCATAGCTGACCTTATCTCCCCCCTGCCCCCAACCACTGCCATCGCATAGGAAAAATATGTCCAGTTTATATAAATAGACATTATCCCCATTTACACCCGGCATTGTTGTTTTCACTCTTGAATGAACACAAAAATCTGCCCGAGCCAAATCAGCGCGTGTGTTCGGACAGACACGCGTGTCTCATGTCTCTGGGGCAGCTAAGGCATGCAGCTGGTGAATGGTTAATTGCAAGCCTCGGGTATCAGGATATTTGCAGGCCATTCGTACAGTGAGTCATCTTCTCATCCCTTCCTCCAGCAATCTCCTCTTCCCCCTCCCCACTCAACCTAGCTTCCCTGAGGTCATTTCTGCAAATACTAGATTGCTCATCACAGAGAGCTGGGCTGCGCTTCGGTTTTAATCAATAAATAATAGAATCCTTGTCAGCACCAAGGGAGGATCCGTTATTTTACCTTTCTACAAGCTCTTCTTCCCCCACCACACAACCTCTCTCACCCTGCTGGAGCTGAGCTCACCCAGAATGAAACTGCACCTACACAGATGAAAGATGTGACACACTCAACCCCTAGAAGCCAGAAAGCGAGGGAAGGAACGTGCGACTTGGCGTGCGACTGCTCTGCACCAGCTGCCCTGCCTGGGGCCAGGTCCCCAGGATGCTTGGTGACGTGGCGGGGGTGACCTGCTCATGTCTTATCACTGCGACTTCCATGATGAGACCACCTTAGCCCTTAAGTAGCCAACACCTCCTCCCAGCTCCCCCACACCTAGGGAGAACAGGAATATAAGGGGGGAACCTCAAGGAGGTTTTTTTCCCTGGTGGTTTTACAGCCCATTATTTGCAAGGTCGCTGCTACAGACCCCCGAAGGATGCTTTCTTCTGATCAGTGACCAATGCTTCAGGGTGATTTATATCCCCACTCTCCCAGAGATCTTCCCCCAGACCACAACAGCTTCCTGGGGTCGGTGGCCCCGGTGAATCAGCAGTGCTGCCCACTGAGTCACGGCCTCCTCGGGCCACACCGGCTCCAACAGGGAGCTGCAGACTTCGCGGGCCTGATCCTGCAACCCAGAGCACTTCCAGCAAAGCAAAGGGGAACAGCAGCGGGAAAAGGAGGAAACTTTCTCATCTACTAAGGGGGAATCTTTTTAGCCTCAAATCGACAGGCTTTCAAGATAAGACACTTTGCAATACATAAAAGGTACAAAGCAAAGCCTACATCAAAACTCCATCCCAGACAAACTGCCCACAGCCACAGTCACCACTTCAAAGCATGGGGCTGGTACATGAGGAGAGAAGGACGATCTTGTGGCTAAACGAGCAGGCTCAGAGTCAGCAGAGCTTAATACAGCCCCTGCTTCGCCACAGACTTCCCAGCGTGACCCTGGAGATGTTTCTTCATCCCTACTTTAATGGGGCCCCCAAGGATTTGCCTGGCCCGGCACAGTGCAAGTATCCCTGCCCTGCAGCAGCAGAATTGGTGCTTTTGGGGCGACTGTCAGAGCCCAGGGCAGGCTGGGGGTGCCTCCCTCCCCCTCGGTACCGGGCAATACCCAGGCTGGAGGTGCCTCTGCCCCGGCGGGGATGCCCTCCGGGCACCGTTCGTTATAGGAGGCACAAACTGGGCGCATCAGGACAAAAACCAGTATGATAAAAGGCTCAATAAAAGTGAATTAACCCTGGCCGGTGAGGACGCAGGGACGGGGTTTATTCAAGAAACATCACCGGGGTTTCTCCTCCATCTGTGACCTCCCCGTGGCCTCAGGACATGGCAGGGGGGGTTGTTTGGGAACCCCTGCCTCGGCGCGGCCCCGCTCCGGGGAGCCCCGCGGCCCTGGCGTGCGGTGCTGCGGGCGGGAGCGGTGCTGCGGGCGGGAGCGGCCCCCTCGGGGGGATGAGAAAACGGGGAGGGCAAAAGGACAAAGGCGCTGCCAGGAGGAATGGAGGGGAGGGCAGAGAGGGCGGGCTGCTATTTTTTTTAAATCGTTTTATTATCCCCGGGTTACACGGAAGGAAAACAAAGAACCGCAATCAAAGGGCTATAACACACGTGAGGGGAGGAGGTGTTTCTGTCCCCTGACAAGCCCCGGAGTTTCGGCTGTGGGCTTCCCCTGCCAGTCTCGATATGCCCGATGGAGCGATAAACCTCTCCGCCCCGGGTGGAGGAGCGGGCACCGGTCCCCGGGTTTCGGGCGCCCAGCACGGGCGGCCCCGTGTCACCGGGCGGAGAGCGGGGAGCGGCGGTCTCGGCTCTCCTCCTACCCGCGGGGCTGATTTTATTTTCCACGCAGCCCCGCTCTCTCTCGCCCCCCTCTCCCTTTGATAATCTGCAACTTTCGCCCTTCTTCCTTAATATTCTTTGCTTTGCCTCTTAAACGCGCGGCGGGGGTGAGCGGAAAGGCACTGGGGCTCAGCCCGCAGAGTCTATCCGGGATTTATTTCCAGTGGGTGGAAAAGAAACGAAATCCCGGCGTTACCTCCCTGCCCTCCACCAATAATCAGGTTAACTGCGCGGCGGCGGAGAGGGGACGGGA